GAAGGTGACAGAAAGCTGAATATATTACTTTTGGTCTAAGCCAAACTGAAAAAGACATATGACTTGCTGTCAGTCACTTCCAGCTAATTTAAAGTCTTTAAAAATTTATTTTAACTGTACAGTGATAAAGCCAATCAAAAGAACTTTAGCAAAAAACCTTTTCTATTGACCGTACTGTATTGCTTTAAATGTAGCAATATCGGTGCTTTAACCACCAGCAAATCTGTGCTGTACCAACCTAAACAAACGTACGGAACGTTGATATTGAGCAGAACACTTTTTCTACAATCAAAAGCAGAGAATTTTTTTGTTAGATGTACGTATTTTCAGTACCGTACAAAGCCAGATTTTGATTTGTATAATAGACAGCTGTTCAGTTCCGCTAAATATAACTGTATCATCGTCTTAGCATCATATATTCATAAGTTGAACACTTTAAGCATTGCATACAGTACAACAACTATTTCAGTAATGGTAACTAAAGAAAAGAATAAGAAATAAATAAAAAAAGAGGTCGTGACAAAGTGGATATGACTTCTCGATTGAATCAACTATCAAAAATAATTGCACGTAGTCTCTAAAGTAAGCTTAAAGTACTAGCACTTCTGTTTTTAACCGTCTTTTTTGTTCATTAAACTGTTCTACAAAGTTTAAAAAAGTTAATTTATTAAAAACAAAAGATAAAATTGTTTACAAAATGTTGGTAATATTAAAGCTCAAAAACACAGTCTCAATTACAGTTTCTTCTACTTTCAGAAATTTGTAAACTGTTTATTTTTTGTTAGTAGCTGCATTTAAGTCTCTTTTAACAATTAACTAAAAATTATGCTTATCATATGTACCCGTTGTTTTATTCATATTTCTCGACGACTAAACGGAATGTGTTTTCATTATTTGAAATATCAGAATTTTCATTGTTGTATACTGTGATCAGTCGATTCTGCCTTTCTAATTGCTTATCTGTTGCCTATTTCTTTCCTGTTTAGCCTTTTTTACAGTTTTTTAAAATGCTCCAGTTGAGAAAAATTGATCAACTAAAAAATCAAAAGATTGACAGCTTGGTTTTGAATTAATAAATATATTATCAGCTTTCCTCTGTAGGCGCAGCAGTCTTTATTGCATCTGAACAATTGATAATTGCTCTTAATCAAAAGGAAAAAAATGTTCTCTTTACTTGTTCAGCTACCTAAAAAACTTTAGAAATTGTATTACCGAACAATCTGTATTGACTGAAAAAAACCTTGCTTTGAGTTTTAGTA